CGTAAGCAATCCTCACTCCACGCATCCATGCGTCACGCGTCTTTGGTAGCTGATACTATGGGGGCTATATTTGGGGTGGCGTGTTTACAGCGCTTTGCCAACAGCGCCAACCCACTGAAGTCTAGATTGCGCGGCTTGTTTTACAACGTCGTTGCCAAGCGACGAAAACACAATCCCGATGGCAAACACCACGGGGGGATGACCCAGTGGGCACTCTCGCACTCTCGCTCCTTAAAAGTTGCTCTTTATTGATGCTGACACGATTGACGCTACTCCAAGACCATCATAATACTCCTTTCACACTCACAACTTGTCTGTGCACCCTCCGCGTTGCTAAGTAACACTCCCAAAAAACGAAAAAGAGGTCCATCGAAAAGCCTCCGATACACCGACAACATATTTTCGTTTGCACCTACAGGCTTTGGAATACTCTCAACGAATTGCTGATCACAGTACACACGCATGACAAGTATCGACCTATATGAAGTGGTGGGCAGCAGGAGTGTTGAGGTTTTCTGTTTCTACCCTCCTACACAACAGCAGTATACTTTTGTGTCGTGCTCCCGACGTCATCCGCTCTTGCCATGTTGCCGTTCTTTCGCCACGCATCTCTGCCAAACAACGGGGGATACTCCTATCTCTCCCCTCAAAATCACTGCTCGATTCCCATGAAACCTTTGCAGAACATCAAGAGAGAGAGAGGACTTGACAACACAGCAGTTCGGCCAGACATCGCTCCGACAACCGCATGAGTCGCACAGAATAGCGGACGACTCTCGTGGGGACCGACTGCGCCAGGCCTAGCGGCTGTCAATGTAGCCTCGTCCGTTGGAGATGTTGTGGGTGTACTGAATTTCCAGCATCTTACGTTTATGGAAGCATGAACAGGTAAGGAGACAACACCTGCGCGCGGGGCACACGGGCGAATTCACCACCAATCGGTGTATTTGAACCCTTGTTCCACACACAGAGAGAGGTCATTCATGTACGTGCGACAGAAAGCGGGGCGAGACGGAAGCGGCACCTGAGTCGGGGTTGGTGTCAGGCAGCTGTGAGCCGTCCTCCCAGGGGGCGATCGACTGAGAGCCGTCGAGCGAGGTGTGCGTCGTGACGGCGGCCCTTCTCTTCGGGGTACCCCTGTTGCCGCCGCTCCCCCGACCGTTCCCGACAACGCGGACAAACTTTCCTGAAAAGCCACCACCTGCTGTCGTGAGGCATCCAAGAAAAAGTTGAAAAGACAAAAAAAAATAGCAGATGCACGATTGTGTGTGTGTTGCGGGCTCATTTTCCTCCGTTTGGGGTCGCGCGCAAGGCAAGCTTCACGCCGGCATGCAAGCCGTTCGAAGCAGCGACGGCGACAGCGTAGTCAAGTTCTGCAGGCTCTCCCTCTACGCTCGCCCGGGTACCCAAGAGGAACGCACGGGTAGATAGAAACCGTCTTCCGACACAGGGGGGCCAAAACAACAAAGCTGAAGACAGCAAGGGTTACATAAAAACTCATAGGCTTGGCATCACTGGGACAAGCTTTCCTCCGCCAAACGCTAAGGTGTCTTTGCCGCAACGTCCTCACTCAACACACCCCAACCCTGACCTCACCACTCGACCCGATGGCAACCCTCTTCTCACAGCCTTCAACTCGAAACGTGATTCGAAACGTGATTTCGAGGCCGCACGAGAACCTCTAGCCAACAACCCTGTAGGCTAGACCTGACCCCGACAGGGCTTGCCTAATGGAAACCCTAGCCGACACAAAGACCATACCGTAGTTGCCCCGACTATGCATAGTACGCGCGCACCGTCATGAGATGTCGGAGATGACGATCTCTTCTTGGGGGTGGCCACAGGGCGGCTTTGGCTTGGCGAGGGGCTGACACGTGAACGAAGACGGCGGACAAGCAGTAGCGCGAACGGGCGCCGCACAGGATGAGGTCAAAAAGTGCACTCGACAACGCGCACTGTGTACGATGTGTAGACATTTGACCACACATGCAGCAAAGACAAAATACTCGGGACAACGCACACCTAGTATTGTTCGTCGCAACACAGGCAAAACAAAGGCCAGCTGCCCGACTCTCCGTTCTCCCGACACAACTGCTACCTTCACTAGACCATGGTTTGGCAAACTGGAACATCTTTTGCTACGTCCCGCGCACCGGGGGCCTGCCTTTCATCGGATCTCGATTCACACACCACACGGGTTGGCGCCGACAAAGTAAGAGACCCGGTGACCCCAAGAAAACGTTTCGAGCTCTTGTGGAACGAACTCGGGACTGCGGTATTCTCATCGCACGTCTCCGACTGCTGCGCCATCCTCACCTCCTAGAGGTCTGCTTCATGAAGGACCGCCGGCCCCCCTCTGCTGGGAGAGCTCCCGACACGCCGCCGTGCCAAGCACAACCAGGCGAACCGCGGCCTCGCGCCCCCCCCCCCCCCCCCCCCCCCCCCCCCCCCCCCCCCCCCCC